CTCCTGATCCAAAAAAATATTATCTGTAATCCCCCTACCCTCACAAACTTACTCTGGGCAGGGTCAATAATCTCAGATAACATGGGATTCATTCTGCCAGCAAGGATCTTTGAGATAGTCTTATACAAGACATTGGTACAAGAAATAGGTCTAAAGTCACCTGCGGATGGGTTGTGGGCTTTTTTAGGAATAAGAGCAATGATTGTATGGTTTACCTGTTTCAGAAGTTTTCCTTTGGTAAAAACTTCCATGACTGCATCAGAGAAATCCCCACCCACTATATCCCAATTCTGTTTGAAGAAGCCAGAAGAGAACCCATCTGGTCCCGGAGCTTTATCTTCTCCAATGTCAAAAAGTGCATCTTTAACCTCCTTAAGAGTTACTGGAGCCACTCTTTTCTGCAAAAAGTAGGATCAATCAACCGTCCACTCTTTACCACTCCCATGTCCAACTTCTTACACAGGTTATCTTTACCAAGTAGGTCTGAGAAATAAGTAGTGAATCCCAAACAAACTTTTTTGGTAGAAGAGGTAAGTAGACCATCAGCTTTCTGTATAGATGCAATGCAATTTCTTGCCGTATTCCTCTTAGTAATGGTGCACCTATCAGCCTCCATTAAATGATTAACCTTAGCTCTTTGTTGGTAGTATAATAATTCAGCCTCGGACAAAAAAATAGCTTCCTTCCTCACTCTCCGAATCTTATCTAGCAACATAGGGTTGTCAGGGTCATCTATGAGTGCTTTCTGAACTTCCTTGTACTCATTTTTTGCCTCTTTGGCCCTTGAGGAAATGTGGGAAAACTCAGCATTATTTAACCCTTTAAGTGGAGCCTTAAGCATCTGTAATTTGAAGATAAGTCTGAACTGGCTGTATCCGTCCACCCGATTCTTCCAGATTTTACCTACAATTTCCTTAAATTTTGGATGTAGCATCCACATGTTGCAGAATTTAAGATGTCTTCCCCATATTTGTTCTTCTCGGTTTCTGTAACTGCACACTGACACACACTGCATTGAAGTGGTTAAACAGAAGGTTTACAGACAACTTTTTTTGTACCCTCAACATCCTCTGTGCAGATGGTTCTTTGTTCCTTTGGTCCTCTTCTCTGTGTTCCTCATTTTCTTTAATGACTTCTGATTCTACATCATCTCTTGGTAGTACTTGTACATATTAGGGTTGGGCAAATCGGTTTACGGTTCGGTTTTTATCGGATTCGGTTTCAAGTTGTTCGGTTCGGTTTCAAGTTGTTCGGTTTGGCGAAAAATGTATTTCGGTTTGGTTTCAGTTCGGTTCGAGAAATTTTCGGTTCGGTTCGGTTTGATGTTCGGTTTATAAAGTTAAAAAAATAATGTATAATTTCATATTTTTAAGTCAACATTTACTAATTTGAAATGGTTTATTTTAGTTTAAATTCAAACTAAATAAACTAAAACAAAGCAATAAAATCAAAATAGAGTTTTTTGGTGTTGTGTGTAAAATAGCAATGGTGTACAAGCAATGTGCCAACTTAAATAAAATATAAGTAGTGATTTACATGTGGTGCAATGAGCAAAATAGCAATGATCTAAATGTTTAATAGAAGTGGGTGTGGGCTTAGGAGTTTGGGTAGTTATGTTTCACTCCAAATCACCAAGTCACTAAACGTACGACCTCCCTAATGTATACATATAATGGACGAACACATTGTCATATTTCACTGGTACAACCAAACTTACAATCTCCATACTGCACACATATAAGAGGCAAACATTCGGTTTGAGCAAATGTTTACCAAACAGTTATTTAAGTAAACCCCAACCAAACCAAATCACACCACCAATTTTAATAATATATGAAAGTTTTTTTGAGTTTCTTTAGTTCAGTTTGGTTTCTTTAGTCGGTTTGGTTTTGAGTTTTATCGGTTTCGGTTCAGTTCGGTTCGGTTTGATACGGTTTGAAAGAAATAGTACCAAACTCAAACCAAATTGCATACGGTTTGGTTTCGGTTCGGTTTAGTTCGGTTTGGTACGGTTCAGTTCGGTTAAACCAAACCGTTATGCCCACCCCTAGTACATATGGTTCTTTGTTCCTTTGTTCCTCCTCTCTTTGTTCTCTTTCCAGATTATGTAGAACTTTACCGTTGAACGGGTGGTGGCCAAACTTTTTGCAATGGAAACAAAAATTTGGAAAGGTTTCGTACACCACATATTGAGTGAAATACCTCCCTGACCTTAACTTCAATTTCACACTTAAAGGAGGGAGTTTTGATATATCAACTTCAATAAGAACCGTAGCGTAGTCTAATTTTGTTTTTTCGTTGGTCACTCCATCTGTGAAGATGGGTAACCCAACCTTAGAAGCTACTAGACTTATTTTTTCCTCATTCAAACACTCCATTGGGAATCTGGGAAATTTAATCCAAAGAGGAACCTTTAAAAATTCTCCATCCTCAAATGAAAAACCCTCTGATAGTTCCTTAAGCATAAGCATTCTCCCAAGGACATGATAGGGACCATTTAATAAGACTCTGGTTCTATCCTCTTCAGTTTTGAATTGAAATACTAACCACCCTTTATAGTGTGGTAACAGCTTACTCCTCACACCTCAATCTTCCATCAGCTTATGATAGCTCTAAACCCCGAAAACGTACCTGTGAAGAACCTCACCTAGCAATACCCCCATAATTCTATCATATTAAGTGGCTCCCCAATGCTCATATCCACACAATCACCCTCCGCGTGAATGAATCTTACTTTCATGCCTTTAGCCGGGCTACGGTTATCCTTGAAAAGTCTAGCCCAAGATTTTTTGTTCTGCTTTACATTTTATGGTTCACCATTAAGATCAAACAGTTGGCGTGCATCTGATGTCTCACCTGCTTCCTTGTCACTAGACTCCAGTGTGTTATCTCTCAGCATAAGTTCACCCTCCTTTTGGTTTTTGGTACCTCATGTCAGTTCCGAAGGGGTGCTGTGATTATTCTCCACCACTACTACTTCTTTTCCGATTGGCCAGACCATCTTTGTTGAAGAGGATCTAGGTACCATTTACGTCCTCTGCTCATAAGATTTAGTAGTCATACTAAAGTTCATTCCCTCTTCCTCTCCCCATTGGGGAGGGTGGAAAAATGAATTTAGTGAACGCCAGAAATCTAATAGGATGTTGAGCTAAGCAACATTGAAGTTCTCACAAAATTGGCATCCAGGTTTACGGAAACCTGGAGAGAGAAATTCTCCCAAACCAAAATTTTCTTTCAATCAACAACAACTTTTCTATAATGTTGGTTGGCAGTCACACCCGATGATAACCAAAAGTCAATAAAACGCTTTATGATGACGAAGACTACTACATCTATCCAATTGATTTAAAATTCGACTCGCTTCACAGCCTAGTAATATAAGTCAAACTCTACAAGCCATCACACCCAGAGGCAAAGATGTGTCCTCCTTACCTTCAATGGGCCATCAAGTTTCTTAATGAATACAACACGACGCTCTCAACCATTGTAGAGGTGTCAGCAAAAAACTTTAATTGTTAACTCTAGATTTTATTTGAACTCTAGTTTTGTATATTAAATTTTTAAGTAAATTTGTAGTGTTCCCCGACACTTTCTCCACTTTCATGCTAGTGGTTTATGTGGGAAAAAAAAATTAATTCAACATGCTTACAATGTTTTTTCTCAAATTATAACTTATATTATCAAACAATATTTGTTCAATTTATATGGATATAAGCTCACGTGTATGATTGTTTGGGTTGCTAAATATTATTAAAATGTTTAATTAACCCCCAAATGCTTAATAATACACAACAGTAATAATAACATCAATATGGAACTATGCATTAAATGTATATACTTAACCCTCTGATTCTTGTATAGGACTAAAACATAAACGATGTGCACATATAGGACTATTACTGTTTTATTCTTAAAATAGGACTTATTCACTCCTAATAGGAGAAGTTTTATGCTTTTTATAGGATCGAATAATTCCTATTAGGAGAATACTACGTAAAATATATGTAGCCATATGTGTACATTTTGTCTAAGTTTTAGTCATATTTGGAGCAATTTCTATAAAACCTAACCCCGTAAGGATATATTTGTCTTAAATGTTAAAGATGTAAACCAATATTGCATGAGTCACGATTAAAACACATAGAAAAGTACAAAACATTAACATAAACTAAGGGTAGTAACATTTTTCATATTTATAAGTTTGTTAGTTTACTTACAAGAATCGGACAGACTGGTCGGTTCGACTCGGCACCTACCCGGATGTTCCAAATTTAGGAAATTTCTGAAAGGATTTGACCATGTGTTAGACATATCAAGGATCAAGTCAAATTTCACTTTAATAGGGCCATTAGGTGTTCTTTATTTGTTACTACATACTGATGGATTATAGGGATCCAAACATATATAATTAGGAGAGAATGAGCTATGAAAGGAAGAAGATGAATAGTAATGTTGAATGTGTAATATTGGTTCTAGGGTTACAAGAGGCTACAAGAGAAGTATAAATAGGGAAATAATAGGCCGAGCCGCTAATATGAGCCTGATAGGCCCAAATACATAAAAAAACTAATCTAGTAGACTAGTACATACAAATGATATATATGAACTGTACAATAATACAAATGAGATCCGGTAAGCATATGTGGGCAGCTGTCCGGGCCCAATAGTCGTGAGACCCGGGGGGTCCAAGTCTATATACTCTATCACATACGTAGTAAATGTTACTCCCTCCGTCCCTAAAAGTTCTTCCAACTTTCCATTTTGGGCCGTCCCAAAAAAACACTTCCACTTTCTATATTAGGCAAGTTTTCCAATTAAAATTACCCCAATACCCTCACAATTACTTTTGCATCCACCCACATTCATTACCCCATCCATCCGTATTCATCTCTTTTCTCGCACCTTCTCTCTCCATTCTTTCGTTATTCCTTCCATCCGTATTCATCTCTTTTATCGCACCTTCTCGCTCCGTTCTTTCATATTACTCCTTCCATCCCCATATGAAAAATCTCCTTCCTCTGTCGATTCATCTGCAGTCATCCCACCCACACACCCACCTCAATCTTGAAAGCCATTAATGGTAGAAAACTTGTCGTTTTTGTGCATGCATGCTGATTTCAATGGTGTGGTGGTTGAGGACTTAGAGGATTCCTCCGGAAGGACGATTTCGTCCCTGTGTTTGAGAAGTTGGCCGATATCGTCCCTGAGTCTGAGATCTTGCCCAACTTCATCGTTGAGGCTGAGATCTTGCCCGACTTCGTCCTTGAGGCTGAGATCTTGCCGGATTTCATCCCGGATTTTGAGCTCGATTTCGTCCCGGTTTATGAGAATGGAGAAGAATTCAAATGGTTGTGGGAGGTTAGACTGAGATGTTGAGGCACTGTATACATTATATACCATTCTTTGCTCCCACGTCATGTGATCATAGTCTCCCCACCCACTCATCTCGTTAGGGACGTTACGAGACGAACCTACTGTTTGTGGTAAAAGTGATGAATCGAAAGGTTCGCCATGAGAAGTCCAATTATAATAATTGTCAATGAAACCTTTTTCGTAAAAATGCCACACAACCTCGTTGGTGTCATTAAATTTCAGATTTTTATACTTTGTACATGGACATATGATTTTATCACCATCCATATAATTCGAATGTTCAACTTCAAATTTACAAACTCATGAATTCCATCACGAAATTTATTTCGCATTCCGTACAATTTGGTATGTTTATTATACATCCAACATCTATTTTGTCTATACATTATGCCTGAATATTATAATTAAAATATGATATTGGTTAAAAACTATCAGTTATAAACATTAACAATAATTCGTTATGTTTAATAAATTTCACTAATTAATATTTAGGAACATTAATATGTTAAATTTCACTAAAGCTCACTAAAATAAACTAACGTTCAATTAATATTATTAATTAATTAAAAGAAATACGTTAATGACATTAATCATTTCAATTAACTAACTTTTGAATCATAATAATTCACAATACTAAGATTTTCAACACTAAATACATTAAAATCAAATTGTATACGTTAATGGCATTGATTCACAATATTAACATTTTAACACTAAATACACTAAATCATTACGTTAATGTCATTAATTCACAATACTAAAATTTTGAAAATCTAATAATAAAAAATAAATAAAACATATAAATTAAATGAAATTCAAATAATTCGCAATAATAATTCACACTAAAGTAATGTTCAAATCCTAAATTAGACATTAACAATAATTGCTAAAATTTAGTATATATTTCTAAACGAATTTCAAATAAACATTTTAATTAACTACAAATGTGAAAAGCATTTTAATTGAATTACTATTATTATTACTTAAAACTCTTAAAGGTTTTTGACTAAAAGGCATAAACAAATCTGATAATTTTATAAACTCATTTCAATTAACTAATATTTAAATCTAACTAATATAATCAATTCAAATCCTAAATTAACGGTATTATCAATAATTGAAAAATTAATATGCATTTCCAAACGAATTTCAAATATATGCACAATAAATTATGACATCACTCCGTTTATAGTTAAAAATATATTGTTAATTAATTAACAACCTCACTAATAATTTTAATAATTCAAATGACATACTTTATCTGCATAGATAGGGAAAATGACATAAGATAGATTACATATTTCAATATTTCAACAGATACTGTATTATACTCTGATGAGTTTGGATTGGTATGAATCAGTCGAATGAATATGTTCTTGCTTATATAAAACAATATGTCACAGATTTTGTCACGATTTTTTCCGTGACAAACACTATCCGTACAACATTAATTCGGGGACAGTTGAAAGTTTCAATTTTTGAGATTTGTCACGGATTTTTTCACGGATCCGTCCGTGACAAATGCTCGGAATAAAAAACAATTATGCCGGAATCAATTTCCGGTCGCCGGAACCCCTTTGTCACGGATATAATCCGTGACAAACGTTTGTCACAGACTTTGTCACGGAAAAATCTATGACAAAAGTTATTTGTGACATGTCAGATAAATCTGTGACAACAACCGTGACAAACTTGTCACGGACGGAATCTGTGACAAAATTCCGTGATAAAAAGCCTGTTGTTTTTTGTAGTGAGGGGGGGGGTCAGAAATCCTTGTCAACCCTCCCCTCCAAAACTCCAGGGGCGGGGCCAGAGTACTGGGTCGCACTAGGCCGGTACAAAGAATTTTTTTGAAAAAAAATATATAAGGAATTTTTTACACCAAAAATTAAGGTATTTTTAAATTTTGGGGTGGGCCAGGGCCTAGGTTGGCCCACCCCTAGATCCGCCCATGCAAAACTCAACTCCCAAACATACCCTAAGGTGAGTATGTCGATTAGATCGATTTATTATCTCCCTATCCCACTATTTATTGTCTACTCTTTCCTTTTTTGTCCACGACGCGTCCAATTAAATTTGTCACATATCATATATACTAATACTTGTGTGGTTCCAATTTATTCTTATTTTAGTCATATTGTATTCATACGGGATTGGCACGGATTTGGCACGAATCTACCCATTATTTCGTGCCAAATAGCCCGTGTCAAACTGGTTTTGGCCGGATTTGGCATAACCCAACCTAAATCCCTGAAAATTTCGGAAAATCCTTGCCAAAAATATCTGACCATCCCATTTTTTTGTAGTGTAGGGAGGGGCCAACCGTGGCCCTGGTCCAGCCTAAATTTCAAAAATATCTGCAATTTTATTGTGCAAAATTTCTTGTAAAATTTTTTCAAAAATATTCTTTTATCTGACAAGTGTTTTGGCTCCGCCCCTGAATTTACCACATTTTACCTTTCAGAAAATTAATTACTTCCTCTATCTGAAATTTAGTAGAATAATGGTATTATCTACTATCATAATGATATCTAGTACATTAAATTTTTAATAATAAATATCTACAAGGTCACCAACGTCACATATAAAAACACGTTTATATAGGAACTCTTCACTGCAAAATATTGCTCCTGAAAGATGTTACTAGGGTGTAGACTCGAATTCAACTCCTACTATACCCTTATTACAAGTATCATCTTTTTTGAGAGTAGACAATGGTAGGAAATATTCGCCCTTATATTCCTTCCTTGCAGGCACACACATAAGGTATACTCCACATGAAGTTTCACTTTTAAATGAAAGTTGAATTTACGTAGTTGCGTATAAGTCTTGCAATTGCATATTTGGAAATTAATATATGTTAAACTTTGATGAAAAAAATGAAATGTAAGTGTTTGTCTTTCAACAAATTAAAGAATCCCATCCCCGTTAATTTTTTTCCATTCAAATGCAAATCCTTTGACATTCTAAAAGCAAAAGGAAAAAGCAGAGAAGAATGGAAATGTATGAATTAAGCGAGAGATAAATTAAATGTAACCTGGTTAATAAATAATAATAAGTGTGGTATATTAGAAACAAATTTAATTTGTATTAGAAATAATATACTGAAATAAGATGCTTTTGATTATTTTATTCCTCTTCTTATTCACAATTAAGAATATCATTACCATTGAATAATATAATATGATTCCCAAGAGATTGTATATATATGCAATCCATAGTCAGTACGTTCTCTCGTACATTCCTCTCAACGCTGATCAATTAGTTTGACATCTCCCAATTCAATTAGGAACTGAACAATTGTCCTTCAGCTTTTAGCTGTGGAGAGCCTTAGTATTACGAAATACTTTAAATACGTACATCGGTAAGCCCTTGACTATGATCACATACTCGCTTGTGCATTTACGATGGGAGGACCAACTCAAACGATATTTTTCATGTTGTTTCGTACTTTCGTTAGCATATATATAGTTCATCCAATAGGAATAGATAATACTCCCTGTCCCTAAATTTACTTCCATTTCGCTTTTCGAGAGTCAACTTAAATCACTCTTAAACTTTTACTTTTTGTATCAAAACTTTATGAAAATTGATTTTTTTTTTGCAGGCTTTGTAGCGGGTTTAATGTAATTTCTGAATATGTAAATTTTATTTACTAAAAATAATCCGAATTTTCACAGGGATCATTTAACTTTATCGTCGGTCAACCTTCGTAATCCGCAATTGGAACAACATTCAGGGACGGAGGGAGTATCTACTGCTCCATCCATTTTGATTTGATTTGCATATTTCCTATTATAGTCGTCTCAAAATTATTTCTCACCTTCTATTTTAGGCATTAAAAATGTTTAAAGTGACAAACTTACCCTTACTATATTAGTGTGTTACTCATTCCCGAATACTAAAATATCTTTACTGTATTGGAGATATGATAAAATGGTAAACTCAAATTTATGCATTACGTTCTTTGATACTAGAAATCAACATTTTCAAATCAAAATGGAACCCGCACGGGTAGCTCAGTTGGTCGAGTGGTGAGAAATTTGGATCAATGAATCAAGGTTCGAATCCCCGCAGCGACCGGGTGGAGGTTACAGAACCTGAAATAAGGTTAGACCTCTGGTGCGTACGGGTGTATGACCTACTGCCACTTTGCTGATTAAGTCACCGTAACTTACTCATTCACCATCCTTTCGGGTCGAGGTGTGGGGGCTGCTGGGGTGGGGATTCCACCTTTTGGATCAGTGCAAATCAAAATGGGAGAGATGGAATATTAGCTATCCTACTGTAGTACGTCTAACATTTGATCCTGTTTATATACTCCCTCCGTCCCTAAATGTTGTTCCATTTGCGGATTACGAGGTTGACCGATGATAAAGTTAAATGATCCCTGTGAAAACTCGAATTATTTTTAGTAAATAAAATTTACATATTCAGAAACTACATTAAACCCGCTACAAAGCCTGTAAAAAATAATTCAACTTTTATAAAATTTTGATATAAAAAGTAAGAGATTAAGAGTGATTTAAATTGACCAATGAATAGTAAAATGGAACTTCTTTCAGGGACAGAGGGAGTACTACGTATTTGAACTTGCACTGAAATACTGTTGACAGTGAATAGCACGTAGTACATACTACGTGGTACGGAGTATGAAAAAAAAGATAGAAGAAAATTAAGCTAAAAATGAGAAAAGAAGAAAGAAAGAAATGAATCATAACTATGATTTTGATGATTTACATACTTTGATTATTTGAAATTGACAAAAAATTGTAAAATTATATATTTAATTAATTTACATAATAACACTCTCTCTGTTCCACAACTAAATTCATAATTTCAACTTCTCTGTCTTCAAAGTGAAAACCTTTAATAATATTTATCAATATCTACATATAACAATCTGCAATAAATAAACATTTCAACAATATGCATGTATTAAGAAATGTATTCTGCATTACTTTAACTTTTATTATATTATAAAGTTATACGTATAAAGCATAACATAGGAGTTTTACTGCATCCGTCCCGCTAAGATTGTCCCATTTTAACTTTTTTGATTCATTCCACTAAGATTGTCTCATACCAAAATTGGTAAAGTTTGTGTGAATCAAAGGGGGAAATAAATAATATACCCCGAACTTTGCCTTGGTGTGAGCTCCTCACCCCAAACTTGTCCTAGTTTAAA